AACAGAAACCATCTCTGAGAAAGACCAACACTGGATCTACAAGACAAAGAGTTTAAATCAGCTGTCAGAAGAGACAAGGAGATGCTTGTACCAATAAAATTATTGGTCAATATTTCAATATACAAGGTCAATATTTCAGTATCATTTCTAGATATGAACTTCAAATTTTTTAAACTAGTGAACAGAAGTTTTCTAGTTTAGCATCAGTACAACATACAAAGTGTTGATTCACTTCTTGAAATAAAAGCAGTTGGACTGAATATTACTAGCTGAACCTAAAACATCCCTAAAGATTTCTAACTAGTTATAACTCTGGCAAATAGACACATCTTGAGGAACTCCCCTCTTGTGTCTGCTTTAATGAGCGATGGCTTAACAAAATGTTCCCCTAATGTCCTGAATGATTTTAATTGTGGAAAAACTGTGCTACAAATTAATTCTGATTCTGCTTACATGGAGAAACAACTATATCTTTCAAGTACATAGTGTATATTAGGCAATGTATTAATCCTTCACTTGGAAATTTAGTAAGAACTCTCTGAAATACATGTAAGTATCATTCCCACTGTTTTCAGATAAACTATTTTTGAATCTGGAGAAAAACTGAAACCTATTTATTTTGCCGACATACATATTTTAAAATTATAATTTGCTCACTTACACATTTTAAAGAAACTAAAACTCCAAAATATTATGCCCAAATCTTATATTCAAAACAGAGCTCAGAACATTCCATATTTATCTTGTGGTTTTATGCATCTGCTTATCTTTCCCATGCCTCCAGAGGTTTTGAGAGCTTTAATATGAAGAGGAAACCTATAATGAGTATTATACATAATTAGAAGTTGACTTTATCCCCATTTTACTGATGATAGAAAACAGACTTAAAGATGTTGAACAAATAACCAAAATGTTCACAGAGAATTAGTGAGAAAGTAGAGACCTGAATACCAGAGTTTATCCACATAATCCACCCATGCTTTTTCCTATACGCTGTAGTCTAGAGTCACCCAGATAATTCAGAGTATTTTTTTTAATCCATGGTTGCTAAGAAGATAAAAATTCAACTTTTTAAAATTTATTTATATCCTGCATAACATACCAAGTCCAAAATTTAGAGTGATGCTCTGGTCTTAACATCTAACACATTAACAGACACACAATAATAAAGACCACCAATAGCACCATAGATGTCTGCCAACTTCACCATTTCAACCCTACAAATGTGTAACTCTGTTACTACTCAGTTTACCACATACTATGTTCTCCACCTCTAGAATTAAGGAAAACCCCAACTGGCAACTATAATTGACCCCTTGCCTTCCATTTAAAAAAGAAAAAGACAAACCTCTCCATTTTGAACAAACTTCTAGTAGTTACAAGCCTTTGAGATAAATTGGTTCAGCTGAAAATTTGAATGACCTTTCAGTAATTGACATAATAAAAACTTAAGTAAAAGTTATAAAAATATATGGCTCATGTATATATCTGATGCATAGTTACTGAAAAAAAAAAAGAATAACACAACTGAGTAATAAAAATGAACAATTGTTATACCTAAGTGATTTGGAACATTCTTGGCAATGAATTCAGTGGTAATATATTTATAGCTTTCATTTAGAAAATCTTTATTCCTGCTCTTCACCTTGATTTAAAAGTCTTAAATGAAACATTGGATACAGATGGTTTTGGGGACAGCTAGAGAAGGAGGTTTGTGCAAAGGAAGGAAGATTGAGGAACTACTGAGAGTAAAAACAAAACTTACTTTTCAAGTGGAAATGAAGCCCAACATGGAATGAGGCAAAGCCCTGGACAGAGCGCCCTGCACACAAGAGTACAAAACAGAATGATTCACCTGATGTTGAATTTTTCTAGCAGGCAACATTGCTAAATCAGGTATCTTTTGTTATGAACGTCAAGAGAATACAAAGACAGTATAAACGCAACAAAGGCAATCATTGATTCAAAAGGAACAGATGAAAACCCATTGATAATGAGCCCCAGAGCAATTCAACCTTAAAATATTTGACAGTATACACTGGATGTGGCTCAGCTCCTTAGAGTATAGTGTGCCTAGTCCCAGGATTTCATTATCATTACCAAATTCTCTTTAATTAGTATGACTTTTATAGAGTAATGAGGTCATATTTATAAAACTTTATCCTGCTGGGGGGAAAAAGGCAGTGTACTGAGGAGATGCTCCTAGTCTTCAACGAAATTTTCAAAGTTTTCACTCACATTTTATATTCAACTCAACAATGTCCAAATGTATCACATTGCATTGGTTTTACTATCCTTGTTACTTATGGGCATATTAGCAAAGTTCTGAATAATCACCTAGTGCAATCTACTGTGCTATAGAGAAATTAGAGTCTTCAAAGTGCTGATGACTTTTCAAGCAAATTTAGAAGATTTTATAATTATGATGATGATTTCAGCTGTACATTACCACATGCTTTCATCTACATCTTCACAATGAAAGTAAGGCTTTTAGATTTTTAGAAAACAGTATTTATCAAGTCAAGTCATATCCTTCCCCTCCCCATCCTTTTGTCCCTTAACCTTGAACTTGAAAAATTCTTATTTTCTGCAGTGTAGTTGAGTGGATATATAGAACACATTGCAAAAGCATTAGCACTTATAAATGAACATTTACCTTGCAACAAAAGCAGAACAAGAATTCCATAGTTGGTACTAGGGCTGTGCATCATTTTCCATAAGTAGACTTTCTATAAAAGGTCATCATCAAATAAAAGCTAAATTTCAACTCTTAGATCTATGTTATACTGATTCACACACTTGCAATATACAGTATGGCAGTATTATAGCCTGTGTAGGGCTGGCTACCTACCTGATCAGTGGCAATAGATAATGCATAGATCAGCTTTTGAATCAACACATAATAATTCAGTTGTCTCAATTTCTCATAATTATATATGTATACACTTTTCAGAGAGGGATTCACTTTACAATTCAAGATTCTAATCAACTCATTAAATATCCCATGGCTCAGTTTTGACCTTTCAAGGCAGAACATATAGTAAGTAAATTTTTGCGTCATCTACAAGGATCCACTCTTTTAGTACTTTACAAGTGTACTAATAACCTAATTTCCAAATCTATTTTTCAAAAAGAACTCTTCTTTTTTCTAGTGTTTGAAAAAGGATATTTACTTAGTGAATATGAATACAACTGGAGTTGAAGTAATTTACACCTAACAGAATAAAACATTTTTATTTTATTACAAGAATTGTTGTGTTTTAAATATTCCTCTAGAAGAAATCTCTTATATCTGTGACACCCAATTTTTTTTTACCTTTGTGACACCATACTCCATCCTGTATTAAAACTACTTGTGATAGTTTATTTCTTTTAGTGGATTATAATTTTCTTCAGGGTAATGGCCTCATTTATATATAATCCTAGAACATTTATAATACAACTTAAAAGATGGTAGCTGCTTGATAAATACTGGTTAAATATACAAGTAAAGTGACTGGTTCCTAAATGACACTGTCCTCTATTTTAGCACTGTGTGTGTGTGTGTGTGTGTGTGAGAGAGAGAGAGAGAGAGAGAGAGAGAGAGAGAGAGAGATTTATTTTTCTTCCTTATAAAGGCTTAGATTAAGTATAACTGAGAATCTAAGCTAAGCTTAGATGAATAAGTTCTATCTTAAGGTTCTTTATAGATAAGTCAAACCCTATCTTATCTACTGATTACAATCATTAACTACTCATTACCACCAACTGTTACAATCAAAGATGGCCCTCTACAAACAAGAGCTGCCATCCCCACTCTTGGTCATCTTGTACTCATTTTGCATTCTTGACTGAGGCCCAAATGTCTGGATCTTAGACCACCAGCATAGACTTCTGTCCTCTACCAAGGGCACTGCCCATACTGGGCTACTGCTCAGTTGTTAATTAGCTGCAATGATTAAAGCAAAAAGTCCCACTCATGATCATTGAAAAATTGTTTCCAACAGTAACAATCACCAAAGAACCTTCTTCCAAATGCCATCCCAATGCTCAGTTTAACAATGTTATTTGTGCATTTAGGAAAAAAAAAAAATATTTTAGAGCTTTGACGAGAGAAATCGTCCTTACTGAAGTTTTTAGAGACTGCAATTTTAAATAAGAGACATGGAAAGAGCAAACGAAATTATTGAATGGTTAAGGTCAAGACTGGAATGTTCCAGATTTTCCAGCCAGACCCAGCCAGCTGCCTGTGAGTTTCCACACATCAGCAAGTTCCCCTCGTAAAAGGTTTACAGCTCAAGCCAGGCTGACTGCAAACAGAGTTAAACCAACATAGTACAAAAAAGTGAGGGGAAAACAGTGTGAGACCAATTAAAACAAATTGGTAATGAAAGCAACAGCTGGATGTCAACATGTTCTGCTCTGTTAATGGCATGTCAACAGGGTGATTTCTCGAGAAACCGGCGCTGACTTAAGAAAAGGAGAGACCAGCCCTAATGGAACAGAGCAGGCCTGTAACTTGCCAGAGGCTCTCCTGCCCACTGCTCAGGAGGGCCACCTGTGCAGATGAAAACCATACAAAAAACTTCTCTATCTTTTAAAGCCTCCCACTGAACTGTAGCCACAGGGAATAACATCTCTGTCACTTTAATGCAGAGCTCATTTGACAAATGATGTTGACAGAGGAACCTAAAAAGCACTGGGAAATGAGGTGACCTGGTCTGTGTCCAACCCTGTTTGGACAACCTTTGTCCCCACTACAACCAAACACTTCATTTTTGCGGAGACTTTTTTTTTTTTTGCCTGTCTTACAGGGATATTGCAAGGATGGCATGAGAAATTATACATAAAGACAGTGTAGACATTGCAATCATTACCCATTACATAAGGAACTGCTTTTTAAAAAAAGTTTCATCATTTGCTTCTTTCTCTTTTTTTTTTCCTAAATTTCTTTATTTTCATACATCGTTCATTTTCAGACAACATTTGGTTTCTCCCCTCAGGTGTAAACTGGTTCGGACATGAAGGAACTCTTTAAATGGTCAGCTGGAGTGTTTTTCAAAACTGATTTTAAAATTGTTCCAAGCTACGTAAAGGTGAGTCCAGGACTGAGCCACTTGCTTCTCCCCATAGCACAGGGTAGATCCAGCACCACATAATTGCTGGGAAATTATAGGTCAGGTGTAATATCATGTGTTGGTTGAGTGCATAAGCAGTAGATCTCTTCATCCCATGACCCTCATTACAAGTCTCTGAACTGGCATCATATTGTAACAGGGTGGTCCCCAGGAAAGGGGAGGTTCCCGGCCCCACCCAAGGGAGGGTGGAGCTGAGCAGGAAGAGAAGAAGCTGGAAGAAGAGACTGAGGAAGGAAGGAAGCAGGATGGAGCCTAGAGACACGTGAAAAAACTGTGCTTGTCTTTTGGTCGTGGACTGGGTAACACAGATGTGGGTGAGACCCGTGGGGAGGGGACAATGGCAGCTTTTATCTGGATGTTGATTTTGCTCTTTTCCTTCCGGGCTTGTCCGGTTGTTTGTGACTCTTTTCTGTGGGTCCCCACTGGAAGATGTTTTAGACTTGTGGCAGGCTTTGGGGCCTTGCTCTGGGCCGATCCCATATGGATGGACTTTTACCCACGAGGGGATGGGTAACTTTGGGTGCTTCATTTAGAAACTAAACTCTTTGCCTTACCTGTATTGTTTCCTAGTTTAATTAAAGTTCCTTCCCATTAAAGTCTCCTATGTTTTGTGTTGATGCGGCGGATGGCAAAACCCATTTAAAATAGGCAGGTTTGTGGGGGTCTGGGTGCCCCTCTCCCTGTCCTATAACAGATTTGGCGACCACGAAGATTTAGGACAGCCATCCGTGGTTAGTCAGCCCCATGGGGAAATTGGGCTTCCCTATGGCACTGGCTACCATAAGCGCAAATGTGATTTTTGGTTTCTCCGGTGTGTTTGTTTCATATGTTGATTTGCTGTTGAAAAACTGGCTTGGGCTTTGTGAAGATCTGTGTGTCTGTATGTAATTTGTTTGTAGTGACTTGCTAAGACATTTAATTTTGTGAAAATTGTTCTGTGCCAGTTTTACTCAAAAGATTATGCAGTACATTGGACCATGTGGCCAGATCAAAGATGGCGTCTGAGGCCACTTGGCTGGCTCTTGTAAAATTCAGAGTTTCTTGTTGCTAGGACTTTGGAACTTTTTTTTTTTTCTTTTTGTAATCTCTACTGGCTCATTAGCATTTCTAAAGGCAATAATGGTTCTTCAGTGGTATGTTGCTTTGTCTTTGACTACTTCCTGCCCTGTGTCTGACTGGTTTTGCAAGCCAACTATGGAGAGGTGGTGTTTTAATTAGCAAATGTATGCCTGGGTGTTAAAAAAGAATAGCCTTAAACAGTAACTGGTAATCGCTGGTATCCTTGATGGATTCTTGAAAATAACTTGAATTTTTGCAAAGTCTGGATCAGAAAAATTAACAAGATTTGTCTGAGTCTAAAAAAATTTGCTGCTGTGAATTTTGTCTACACAATTTGTTTTGGGCATGTTTGCCATTTTGAATCCTAAATTTGTTCAATTGCTGGTGTAAGACAAAATTCTAAGTTTCTGCTTCCTACTGATGAAGGTCTGTTATGGAAAGCACTCTTTAGGGTGCATCATGTAACTATACCAGGTTTTCATACCTGTGTTGTTGTTGCCCCTCCCTAGTGTGGGGGAGGTGTAATCTGTGCTTAGATGTTTAATCTGCTCTTTCAGCTTCTGTCCCAGAGTGGCTAACAGAAGTAAGGAGATGACTCCTTTTAATTGAAAGTTAATTACTGATAATTTGATTTTGCTTTTTCAGGTTCTATTCCAGGAAACCCAAGAAGTGCCTGCTTGGTGGCTAACAAGAGATGACTCCTTTTGCTTAAAAGTTAACTGTTATTTTTATTCTTTCAGTTGCTGTACAGAATACCCCAGGATTGACTTCTAACAAAAAGTCTTCAACACTGAAAACCCTAAGGTAATAAACAAGGTCATGTAACTCCTGTAATTAATAAAACTTTTCCTTCCTATTTCTAAAGTCTTAGGTTTGCAGGATGACAACCGGAAATTTTTCTGCCACCACACGCCACATTTTTTTTGAACTTTGACTTTTTTTTTCTGAGCCTATGGAGTAAAACTGCAGTTACATAACATATTCTACATGGCATAACTAAAAAAAAAAAAACTGTCTTTGTCTATACGTTGTATGTCTGTATGTCCTTGTGTCTAACTGTCTTGACCTCCAGAGGTTAAAAAAATTGGTATACATGGTGCCCATAAATGTAAAAAAAAAAAAAAAGAGTCTCCAGTTATGAGGAAACACAAAGGTTATGGTTTGATTGTCAACGTTGTGCTACTGAACTAAGCCGGTGCCTTCATAGAGATTAAATACTGTTGTTCCTGTTAATTTTCTAATATTTATGGCAAAGCTTCCCAGAAATCTAAATTCAAATACAAATTTGGTAGCCTGTCATTTGACTGATGCAAGGAAATTTTGTGGAACCTCAGTAGAGCTCCTAAGACACTCCACAAAGTTTCTCCTTTTCCTCCTGGGAAGGCATTACATAAATTTGTTCTATTTGGCTTTTACCTAATGAAGTAAAACTAGAAGAAAAGCATTGTCACTTAGGAAAATGGGTAACACCATGACCCAATATGGATGTAAATTGTCAATAATGATTGTCACCTTGTAATATTGTATACTTCAATTGTTTAATATCTACAAAAATTGTTTCTGGAAATATAAAAAAAAAGGTCTCAACAGATTCCTATTGATGGAACTGTTGAGAGTAAAAAATTTTCCTACAAAGGACTAAATAAACCTGGAAATACACCTGACATTTACTAAGGTTTCTTTGACATACTGGAAATTTTTTTTATGCATTCTGTCCTGAATCCACGAAGTTTTTGTTTTGTTTTGTTTTGTTTTGAGTAACCAGGATCTGCAGAAAGGTTGCAATTTTTTTTCCAGCAAAGCTGACTTGTCACATTTCTCTCCCCTTGATACCAACACAGCATACAAATAGTGGTAGTAATTTTTGCTACTTATTTCAGAGTCTGTTTTTGCATAACTTCCATAGGGATTTTGTCTGTTTTAACGAAAATTGGACGTGAGTTTAATTGTGTGGCTTTGTGTGGAGTTCTTCCAGAAAGTTGAAAAAGAGCTGAACCAAGAAGAGGAAAACCTGTTTGCCTTGTTTGTAGGGTTCCAGAGACCTCCAAAGAAGGTGAGGAAGCTTGCCTCCATTGGCAGGACTGGACAACCCGGCCAACGAAAATGCCCTGGTACCCTCGAGAAGAGGAAAGCCCAGGTGGAGTCTGATGAGACCAACTTTATACCTGAAGCATGCATCGACTGGATGCCACCGGTTCGCTCTGATCCTGTATGGAGTATTTCAACAAAGCCAGCTAAAAATTGCTGTTAGTTATTTTCTGCCCTGTGATTTTATGCAAAAATAGGAAAAATGGTTTAAAAGTAGATTCAGTTTGCAAACTTTTGCTATGCTGTTAAAAGTTTGGGATCAAGGTTGAGAAAATTTGTGTTTTACATCAGTTGAACCATTTTAACATTTTTTCCCTGTGATTTTGATATATTTGCTGTCTTGTTTTAGCCAATGCTCCAAATTTTTTTCTTTTGGCTTGGATAATGGACTATTTTTAAGTAATGAAACTGTCATACTGGACATTCATGGACAATGCTGCTAATTGTTGCTTCTCTTACACACATTATAACCCTGAAAAAAAGACTGTCTCCTAAGACTACACCATGAGATCTCTGCCACCATAGATATGGTGGAATAAAAATTAAAAGGGGGGATTGTAACAGGGTGGTCCCCAGGAAAGGGGGAGGTTTCCGGCCCCACCCAAGGGAGGGTGGAGCTGAGCAGGAAGAGAAGAAGCTGGAAGAAGAGACTGAGGAAGGAAGGAAGCAGGATGGAGCCTAGAGACACGTGAAAAAACTGTGCTTGTCTTTTGGTCGTGGACTGGGTAACACAGATGTGGGTGAGACCCGTGGGGAGGGGACAATGGCAGCTTTTATCTGGATGTTGATTTTGCTCTTTTCCTTCCGGGCTTGTCCGGTTGTTTGTGACTCTTTTCTGTGGGTCCCCACTGGAAGATGTTTTAGACTTGTGGCAGGCTTTGGGGCCTTGCTCTGGGCCGATCCCATATGGATGGACTTTTACCCACGAGGGGATGGGTAACTTTGGGTGCTTCATTTAGAAACTAAACTCTTTGCCTTACCTGTATTGTTTCCTAGTTTAATTAAAGTTCCTTCCCATTAAAGTCTCCTATGTTTTGTGTTGATGCGGCGGATGGCAAAACCCATTTAAAATAGGCAGGTTTGTGGGGGTCTGGGGTGCCCCTCTCCCTGTCCTATAACAATTCCACTTTACAGAAAAAGAAATTGAGTCTCAGAGAAGTTAAGTTGTTCAAGGTGGCACAGCTCTTTTCCTGGTAGATTCCAGGACTTGAATAATAAAGCCTTTGATTTTAACCACTATGGTACATCCCTACTCCATTCTAATACAATGAGATGTTGAAAAAAGATTAACCCCAAAAGCCAACAACAAAATAACATGTGCCAAGGTACTAATTGTGAGCCACTTGTCAGGATGGAGCCTGAGCTAATTTGAGTTTCACCCAAAAAGACAGCTTTAATTTTAGTGGACAATCCAAGGATTATCCTTCCTTCCTAAGAAATGGGTCCTTTAAGGGATGTGGGGTTTCAACAAACATGCAAAAGCATCCCATGAAAGAGAATCTGCTGTGAGCAACTACTAAACCAAAATGGACAATGTGCCCATGAAGAGAATAGTCAACAGAAATGTTTTCTACCAACCACCGCTCCTCCATGCCTTCCATGACCCTTGCTGGATGCAGCCAGAGGCTGCCAAGAGGAGAAACAAATGAGGACCAGCAAAAGACAGAGATATGGGACATAAGAAAACATCCAACTGCCAGTCCCTATCAGAAGAAAGGGAAAAGTGTGACTCAAAATGAAATAAGAAGTTTTCTTTTCCCTGAAGGGTACATTTTAATTATTGTTCTTTTGACCAGCTGTGATCCAGAGATTTTTTTGCTCGTTTTAATCTATTACATGGAGAAACTGGAGAAACTATGGAATCCTCCCACATTTGCATTCAATGTCAGCAAAGAGCAAGGCACCTGAGGGAGTTTGGATTTAAGAGGAGAAAAACATGAAGTTTATTTAAGAATGAATCCACTCTTAAAATATTTAGTTACACTTTCTTGGGCCAAGGAATGAAAAAAGTTGGGGCGGTGGGGAGAAACACTGTCAGTGCAGACTTGGAGCATAGTATGAAATGAGCTAGGTGTTTTAAAATACTTGGGGGAGGAAAAGCTTGCATCCTGAGGAAGTAACAGTGTTAACATGTCCCCATTCCAGGCCTGGTCCTTTGAACTTTTCTGTATGGAACTGCCTTATGAATCTCAGCCTCTGTTGAAACAGCCTGTCCAGTGCTTTCTTAAAAGCTAAATGCCCTTCAAGTCTCTCTCTCTGATTCCTTCCTCCTCTTACTCCTGTCCTATGGAGACTTGTACTTACCTCTGTGGGATGCCAAACATAAAATGGAACATAAAATCATTTCACCAGCCAATAACACATTCTTATAGACCCATTTGTCAACCACCAGGGATGGCAACAACTGCAGAATTACAGAATAAAAATGAAACTAAGCACAAATAAATGTAAGAGTTTGATGGAGGGTCTCAGGGAATCTAAGTAGCAGATTGGCCAACATTTGCTGCTTCCCTTAGTCTTCCAAGAAGTGGAAGTGGACATAATCACATGAAAAAAAGGAGAAAATTTGATAAAATACATCTACAAAAGATGAGACAATAGGTATTCACAGTATACATACACACCAGGCAACTTTAGTCTAGGTTATAACTGGAAGCCAAAGGCATCATTTCCTCCCATTGAGTCCATTCTATTACTAAATAGTTGGAGATGACTAAAAATACAATTTTAATAATTTCAATTCACTGACAAAATAAAACCCAATAAATATGAAGAGACATGATCTCCTTCAACAGTCAACCTGCTACAATTTTTGGAACCACAGACACACAGCTCTAAAATCCAATCACAGAAGCCTTCATCTTGCCTTCTATATTTTCTTCAGAACAGGACTTTCTATTGACTAGTGTTTTGTAGCACAAAATTATCAAATCTTCAAAATGGGGAAACAAAAAACTACATTTGTTACCACCTTCCATGGGCCATTATTTACTTTTCACACTGGTTGCTGTGGACCCCACCTCTCTGCTTCACACCTAGCAGCTTTCAGACTCTTCAGTCTTGATAATCCCCTCAATTTTCTGGAGAGGGTGAGATAAAATGAGGCTACTGAGCAAAATCCTAAATGGCCAGGGAAGTCAGAACTCAAGACTCTGTCATTTTCCCCCATGGAAGAAATTAATGTGGCCAGGAAGTCTCTCTTGGAGCTGGGCTCTGCTGCCTTATGGGAGGCATGATGCAGGTAAATTGACACTGTCTTACTCTGGATGAGGACCTATTCTGATATTTTTTTGCTCCAAAAGTGTGCTACGAAATCTCTTCTGGAAGCCCAGGCTCCCCACATCCATCTGTGGGTGATGATGCCAGGGGTAGTGGACTGTAGGCTGAAAACTCCTATTCTACAATCTTATTAATGCCATATTTTTCTGGGTTTTTTAATTTTTTTATTTTTTTTTTTATAGAGGCATGTTTTCTTTCTTTCTTTATTTGTTTGTTTGTTTTGTTTATACATGCACTGGGTACAGTCAGAAGCGCGGGAGGGTGAGAGAATTCACCAGAGCCAGAGCGGGGAGCAGAACAGGCAGAAGGGCTGAAGTACACTGCTGAGGGAGCAGCGGGTGGCAGGAGAGGTCTGCGTGCCATGTGGGACC